AATGCTGTGGACCTTGGCTTAAGATTGCAAAAACTTTAGTCATTTGGGAAAAAATTCCCCTGTCACTGGAAATTGAGCCTTATTGTGAATCATTTCGAGTCTCGCAGCGCAACAAGCTTTTTTTCACTTTAAGTTCTGTAAAACGTTGCATGAACTCCGGCCATTTGTCTTCATTGAAGGGAAGCCAAGGGTCCCGGCAAAAGGTTCCTTTCAATTAGAATAGCACCGACGGCGGTGTCGGGATGCCTGGACTTTAAGGAACGTGCACATTTCACACTAGCATAAATCAAATTGAATCTACAAAGTAAGCCCAAGGATCCGATGAAAGCACATCTCTCCTGCAGACATGGCAACGGCGTTTGAGCTTCGTTAGCTCCTAGACAAACGACTTGTTGGCCAGAACACACTTAACAAATGCAGAAATTGATGGCCTATTGTTTTTACTGCAAAGTTTCCTCCGGAATCAGGAAAACTTTACCAGGCGAAATGAGAAACTTTTTGAATACAAGACTTCTCACTTACAAGTTTTTTTATTCCGAGAAAAGGGAAGTTAATATAAAGTAAATATATAAATCACAAGAATTGTTAACATTTGCATGTAAAACCAATTATTTTTATACAGGAAAGATTTCATAAAGTTAAAGAAGTAAAAGAAGAACATATTATTCCTGCTACTAAAATGCTTATAATTATATAACTTCTATAAATATTAATAAATTATTAAATTGATATAGAAAGGGTATTAACCAAGTGGACTATTTTCAGTTAAAGACCTGCCCGTTTTATTTTCACTTTGGCCTTCTTGCTCGGATCCTTTCAGCTTAAAACTTCAAATTTCCGTCACGTTGCCCTTAATGCCACCCGAAACATATCCAACTACACGCTCGTAAAAAGAAACGCTCTTGACTCAAATGAAGTGATGCAAACTATAAGCTCCACGTTGGAAATTATGGAATAGAACGGTCTGGGCGGATCTGAAGCGAACCCAAGCGAACCTCTTTGTTTGGCTGAGTTTTGAGTAATGCCACGATGACAGGCATTCAATGTGATTTGGGTCTCGAGAACTTTTAGCGCTCACACTGCGTATACTTATTGAAGTCGACAAATGGCATTGGCCTTAATTCGAGAACTCTGCCAATCGAAATGGTATGAAGTGATGGCTCTAAGCTGAAAAGTCAACTCAGCGCGATGGCAAAAGCCAACAAATTGACGAGGGAGAGAAATGGTGGCTGGGTTTTTATCAATTCATATTTATGCCGAGTAATGGTCATTCGGTAATGTCCTTTTTGTGGACGAACAAACACTTCATCTCTGCCCCAGTAACTCCCACTTTTTTTTTAATAAAGTAGCCATTTTGAAAAGTGGATCTGGCAAAACAGAGATCCCCTCGACATAAAGTACAATTATCAATGTTCGCTGGCCCCATTAGACAATTTATATGCAAACGTCAGACGGCTAGACATTCAATGCTAATGAATGCCAGCACGCACCAATAAAAAAACAGCGAAAATTCATCGGTAAAAAAAACAACAACAATTGAATAAAGTGAAAATGGCAAGAACAACAAATAACGCAATATAAAGTTCAAACGCCACCACCTGAGGCCCTTTTCCAAAAGGTGAGCATCCAAAATGGACAATAAATAAAATTGCTGGTTTCAAATTGGGTGCTAAAGCAAACCTTTTATGTTTAAATATTCCAAAAAGAATGTGAAGAGGTGTACTCATTTCAAGGGTGTGAATAACCATTAGGGAATGCAGAATGTAAAGTGAAACTTTCACAGTCAGATTATTTGTCAGATACTATTCAATTTAGTATAAAAAGTTCGATAGTTGTTGGTATTTGAAGTGAGTAATGTAAACATATTTCTGTTATATATAAAAAACTTTACTGTAGATATTTTTATCAGGGTATTAAGACTTCGAATCATTATTATCCAGTAAGAACATTAATTTTTGTATGCTTTTTTATTTATTCCCTGCCCAGGTAAATTGCCTTGGCAAGAGGAGTTCAGCGATGGCAAATCTTTCGACACATCCATAAATTAACCTTCAACCTTAAAGCATTAACCAAAAGAGCAGAAAATTGGGGGGAGCACAACTTTTGGCCAAAAAAAAAAGATGCCAAGGAAAAGCGGCACGCTTCGCGGGGGCAAAAGTATCCGCAGCAGAATCTCCACTACTGGGAAGTGTTTTTGTTTTTGTTGGATAGAATGGGTGATGTGTCGTAGGTGGTAGATGGTAGGTTGTGGGTGGTGCTGGAGGGTGGTGGGTTGTGGGTGGTGTTCTGCTGTGTACACAGACATCTGCCGAAAACCTCGAAAATTGTTTATTGTTTACTCTTTGCACTCAACATCTTGTTGAAAAGCATCCAGTTGTATCATTGATGCGCGAGTGGAGAGGGGCTAAGTGTTTCGCAGATGAGCAAACAAGTTATTTATTTAACTGGCAAGACCGGAAAAATAGCCGTGCTCCCACGCAGAAAAGGCTTTTTATTTCAATATTTCCAGCATGACAGCAGTTAAATTATAGTGGACGCCACAGCACATCCCATTAGTTAACAAAATGAACCAATGAGGAAGTAAGGATAAATTTATCAAAAGGAATTCGATGAACACAAAAACAAGATGGCTGTAGTTGTAGTCCTGACAACAACACCCCTTTCATCTAGGCAACCCAAGAAAACTTCCCTTCCGGCTCAATGGCATTAACAAAAGGGATTGATAACACACAATTGAAGATATAAAACAAGATGCGAATTACTAAAGCAGACCTTGAACAAAAGCACTTAGAGGATTCTCAGCGAAAAAGAACTCCAAACAATGCCGATTAAAGATTAAGTTGAACTTCTGAGTGGGTCGAAAAACAATCTGCTAGTATTAAATGCAAATACTTGAGCCAAAAAGGCCAAGAACAATTTCAATAGAAGCAATTAAATCGAAAACATTTTAAGAAGGGTGAAATAGAAGCAGTAATTATTCATAAAATTTAATTTCACTTTAAAATTATTTTGCAAGGAAGCTGCAAGGCTAAGAGGATTGTGTCCGCATTTTAGATTAATTGTCAAACAATTTCCCCACATTTATTGAATGTAATACTTCTGTGCTGGGAAACTGATTACTCACTGCCGTCATTTCCGTGGGTTTTCCATGCCAAGTGACACAGCAGGAAGCCGCCTAATGAGACAAATCCCTTCGATGTCTTTGTTCCCGATGAAGGAAACCAATCATTGAACTTCGCCAAAAACTTTAAGTCCTTGTGGGTTGGCCTGGCTAATTAACTCCGAGCTACTGCCGCAATTATTTTTCCCAGTCTGCTGCTGCTGTCTAATGCCCAAAATTTAAGGCACATAAATTTGGATTTATTAGATGGGCGAAGGCGTTTCATTTGGACGACGGACCTTTTCGTGAGTACCGAGCGTCATGCAAGCATTATTTATTTAATTTTGACAGTGCCTCTGGTAATTCGAGATAATGAAGTCTACGGATGGACAGAAGAGCCTGGGTCTTTATGCATTATTAAATTGCCACATGCCGTGCCGCAAGGCTCGACTTATTAAAAAACACCCAGCGGAGATGTCACCTCATGCTGGTATCTTTTTAGAGATAGGATGCTGACGCCATTGTACGGCGAGAAATCCAATTTTCCATTTCCGAATTCTGTGTGTGTGTTTTTATTCTATTTTTTTTTGAGGAATTTTTTTTTTATCCACGTTTAATTTATTCTTTTATGTCCAGAGCGTGTTGCTTTGATGTGCCACAATGGCGGCGCCACAACTTTCGCTCGCAATAAATACAAGTTAAGCATTCCTCAAGCAGCCGCATGAATTGTGATCCATCCATGTATCCTCGTTGGAGTGTGGTTTAGCTTTTTTCGGGTGGTGCGTAATGGCGCTGTTGTGGTTGGGCATCAATTTCCTATTGTGGTAGGATTTCCGCCTGCAGATTGATATTTCTTGTTCGCTTCGCTTGCTATTTGGTCCATCCGAAAGTTGGTCAAGTAAATTCATTCATGCCCCGAAGCATTGAAATCCCACACCATGGCACTTCATAAATTATGCATATGATCAATTAAGTACAGAACATTTAACAACAGGCATTCGGAGGCGGAATGTGCGGTTTGGGACCAGTTGTGCCCATTGGCCAACCGCAATGCCCCCATTTCCCAAAACAGCTTATTGGGCATAACGGGCAAAAAATTATCTCTTTTCCCTTTTTGTTTTAAATAAGGGAACTGTTATCCAACTGATTGATTAAATTTACAACTTTTGCAAAACCTGCCATAAGAAATCATGTCGGTTTTGTTTATCTAAACTTTGATAAAAAGAAGGGAAAAGCAAAAGACAAAGAGAAACCAGGAAATATAAAGAGGGTGGGGCAAAATAATATTTATGGTTTGGAAGAGGCCATTTTTAATTTTGAAGGGACACAGAGGAAAATCTCTTTTCTCAGTTTATGCCTCATTAAATTTATATCGACGGCACAGAAAGAGAGCAATTAGTCACTGATTACAACCCTTTTATTGGCTAACACAAAAGACCCTGAACAACGTTTTCCCAGAAGCCAATTACGACCCAATTTAATGGAAACGTCGTAACCAATTAATTAAAAAAAGGAAAACTTAACATTTAATGGAAATATATAGATGTTGACATTATCCATAACAAATAAGAGTGCGATTTAAAATTGTTCAGTTTGCTCTTTAAAAATAAAAATTGCAATGGTAAGCGATTTAATTAATGAAAAATCAGAAATATTTTGATTGATTAATCTGTTTTCATTAAAATTGCAACAAAAAGGTTACACAGTTTTTCGCACGTTTTTAATTAGCATACCCATACAAATGTTTTTCTTTTGTTTTTTACGAAACAAAAGGTTTTACACTCTCGCTTTATTTTCTTATTTTTTACCCTTATAACGGTTTGCTTTTGTTATTCACACAAATGAATACAAATGAATTTTAAATTTGGTGATAATTGAACATCATTTTTATGGCACTCACATTTGCGTTTTATTTCTGTTAATTGTTTGCGTTTGGAAAATGTCTGTTTGTTTGTTTGTTTTCGATTAGCACTTAAATAAAATGCAACAAAAGTCTTTATTTTTTAAAAATATAATGTTTTTTATAAAGTATTTTAACTTTATTTTTTTCTTTAATTAGATGATTAGATTGGATGAATTTATTTTCGTAACTTTTTATCAGACCGCCTTATTTTCTTTTTCGATCCGTATTTCGATCCTTTCGCGCGCTCTGAACTTTTCCGAGTGAAATGTCCAACTGAAATTCCGACGGACGATGTTCATTTGGCGCCAAACCGCTCGGCACTTCGAATTTCCCCTCCTTCCAGCTTCCAGTCATCGAATTTCGAAACTGGAACTGGAAAGCTTTCTAGCCGGCAAACAGCGGCTGCGCAATACATTGAAAATTGTAAACAAAGGCCAGCTGTTGGAGCATAATATATATATTTTATTTTTCATTGATGATGGAGCATGCCGAATATTGGAGGTAGGGGTTAATTGGAAAGCTAAGGATGAGTGATGCGATTAGGGTGAGCTCGTGTGCAGCTCCAATAAATATCAATGATTTGTGAAATTTTCAAACCAAAAAAAAATAAAAGAACACTTCAATGAAAGTCCCTGATGCAGACCGTATATCATCTCATATGGAATTAAATTGGAGGCCGTCACCCTTGAATGTTGGGTGAAGGCTCGGTAAACGAGGCTCAAGGCCACGCCTTTTACTTGTCACCCTGGCTGAGAATTCTCACAGCTGTCAGCCAGAATCCCGCACACTTGACATCTTCAGTGTTTCTTATTTTCGCCAGCCTTTAATTTCCTTTGTCGTCGCATTATTTTAGCCCTTCGACACCAGGCGTTACGAGGCGTTGCGAACGGAACAGCTTTCGACTGGGCCCAAAAGTGTCTGGCTGAAATGATTGGCAGGCAATAATGGCTGTCTCATTGCTTTGGACACTCCATTTACACGGCTTCAATGAAGCCCACCCATCCGTTTAATTTATGTGCACACAAGGCTGACATCTGTAAAGGTTTTAAAATGCATCTGCCTTCCGAACCATAAAAATATAGTAGCATACATTTAGCTGCATTTACAAGTTATATTAAGGGGGGAAATACAATTAGAAATTTTTTTTTTTCGAAAAATTTTTTTTTGGCTTAATGTACTCCAAATATATCTGGGAGTAAGCCTTTAAAAACATAAAGCCGTCCGGTACTTATTTTCAGAGTTATACGCAATTTAGTGAGGGTGTGTCATATGGCGGACATGCACAAAAGTAAACTTTAAACGCTTCTCCTGAAAAGTCGTGTTTTCAAAGTCGCCGTGCAATGTACAGGTCAGAGATTTTATTTTAATCGAATGCGGTTTTTTGCATTATGTTTGAAATTAAATTCTCCACACCATGAATATAACAGTTTTTCATATTTGTTTGTTATAACATGTTTTTTTTACAATCAAACTCAAAAAAAAATCGTTGTTTTTGAAATTTTTTTTTTAACCTAAAATTTTTTAATGGAAAAATAAAAAAAAAAAAAAAAAAAAAAAAAAAAAAAATATTAGAGATTCCGAATCAAGCAGCGCTGCCGACACACGTCAAAATAGCTACTTAACTGGAATTTAAAAATATTTTATTTTACAAAACTGCAAGAAGGCTCTTGATGAGATTCGGTGGTGCCGTGGACAGAAAAACCAAAAGCAAAGCAAGAGGATCTCAAATTTTTCTTTTGCGCACTCTTCGTGTGCTAATTGGACTTTGTCTAGTGCAGACGTACAACTACAAATACTCATCTGTAGACGGTCACCATTCACTCCGCGCGCTGCCGCGCAAGAGGGGTAATGGATGGAAATCTTCATTCTAACTCTCAACCTAGCGGTAAGCAGTTTGATTATAAAAAAATGTTCCAAATAGCTGGTAAAACACCTTCGGAGATAAGGGAAGAGATCATCAGTTTACAACGCCCACTGTGCTCAAAATCTGCGAGCACTAGTACTATAACCTCAATGCTGGCTACAGCATCAGATGCGGAAATCAGCAGTGTTTGCTCTTCCGCGAGTATGGATAAAACTAATGTTTATTACTCCCAACGCTCATCTGGTAATTCATCCCCATTACCCAGAGGTGGGGCTGCAATTGTCTCTCCAACTCTTGGTGATAATTCAAAAATTTCTTCAACTCCGTTTTCTGATGCTGCTACCAAGTTGAAGCTAAGCCAAAGCCATCTGTCGTACAAGAGGAAGAAGCAACTTTCATATACTCCTTACCCTAAGAAGGTGCACAAAGAAAAGTTATCTGGATCACCCTCAGCATCAACCAGCAAGGCAAGCTCTAGTAATAGGTTTGCCTTACTAGACATGGAGGTGGACCTAGACAGTGACAGACCTGTTGAGGAAAGAAGTAATCTTTCCTTGGCAGATGCCCAAACAGATTTAAATGATGATATGGAAACAATTGTCTCAGATAATGAATTTGAACAAAATAATTCTAATGGCAAGAATAATCCCAACAATAATTTAAAACCACCACAAATTGTTCTAAGTTTTGTCAACCTTAACGATCTATTTGATGTTATTTCGGGGATCACTAGTCTAGATAACGTTATCGTTAAAGTAAATCAGGGATCTACAGCAAGAATATTTTCCAAGGACTCTAAAACTTATAGAGACATTGTTGATCATTTTGATGAAATGGAAATTGAATTCCATACGTACCAAATGAAGGAAGATAAACCACACAGAATAGTAGTTAAAGGGCTTCATCATAGCACATTAACTAGCGAAATTGTTGCCAATTTTAAAACCTTAGGTTTTGAAGCTCTTCAGGTGCATAACCCAAGATCTAGGTCTGACCCAGATGAGAAACTCAACATATTTTTTATCAATATTAAGCCATGTGCTAAAATTAATGCCATATATGATATAGTAACTCTTTGCCGCCAACGAGTGCGAATAGAAAGGATGCGTAAAAGATCTGAAATAGCTCAATGTATTCGTTGCCAAGAATTTGGACATACAGCGAAGTACTGCCGCCGGCATCCTAATTGTGCTCGCTGTGGAGAAGATCACCATACAAAGCAATGTGTTCGTCCCCAAGATCAACCGCCTACATGTATGCACTGTAGAGGGAATCATACAGCAAGCTACAAGGGTTGCCAATCTTATCAAGAATACCTTAGGCGATCGATGAGTTCAAAAAAACAATCAACGCGACAACATCCACAACAAAAACGTCAGCAACAACAGCCAATCCGAGAGCAGCAATCTCAGCAAATGCCTAACTCTTCTGCCAGCAATAATATAGGCTTATCTTATGCCTCTATTGTAAGAAATGGAATTGGTCATGCCCAGCGCCGTCTACATGATCTCCAAGCGCAGCCGCAAGTACAAAATTCGAAGAATACTCAACAACAACAATATGTGCTTGACGTTCAGTCTATATTGGAGCAACAGCAACAGCAATTTATGAAATGGCAACAACAACTTCAGCAACAGCAGCAGCAGCAATTCTTTTTGTGGTTACAACAACAGCAGCAGGAACAACAAAAGCAAAACAAACAGAACAGCCTTCGACTTGAAAGACTTGAAAATATGGTTTTCGAAATGGCCAATTCTATTAAGCAGTGGACTGGGGGCAAATCAGTGCTTCACAACAACGTTTCAGCCTCAAAATGAATACACTCAAAATCCTTATCTGGAATGTCAATGGCATTTCAGGTAAAGCCAGAGAAGTGGAATTCTTTGCGCACAACAACAACATTGATATTATACTTTTAAGTGAAATTAGGCTCAATCGAGGTGAAGTTGTCAAAATTTTCGGATATTCCTTCTATCCAGCATATAAACCTTCACGACATAATCAAGGAATGGGTGGGGCGGCGGTATTGGTAAGAAGCTCTCTCAGTCATTTCCCACAACGTATTATAGAAACGAAAAGCATTCAATTGTCTTCCATTAAAGTTGCGACCGGCTTAGGACTCGTGGATGTAAGCGCAATATACTGTCCTCCAGGCCAAAGAATTGTAGAAAGACATTTCACTGATATACTCTCTTCTTGTGGTCAGAGGTACATAGTTGGTGGTGACTGGAATGCTAGACATTGGATGTGGGGTGACACCTACAATTCACCCAGAGGCCGTGAGCTGGTTGAATCGATTTCAGCCAGAGGGTCCAAAATACTTGCCACTGGTTCACCAACGAGATACCCATATGTTCCTAGCCACACTGCTACTTGCATCGATTTTGCTTTATACCACGGAATTATGGATTCTCAAATCAATATCTGCCAAAACTGGGACTTGGAGTCTGATCACATTGCCCTTATTGTTAATCTACTAACAAATGGTTCCAATATCACCCGAAGCCCTCGGTTAATAACAAGTCGGACTGATCTCACTTCTTTCAAACAAATTCTTGATAACTCCTTTCAACTAAATTCTGCTCTGGACTCACGACAAGACATTGAGAATGCAGTTGACACTCTAACTAATAATATTTATATGGCTGCTTCTGCTTCGACGCCTTTGGAACCGGATTATCGTCCTATCAATTATGGTGTTGTTCTCACAAGGGAAGCCAAGGCGCTAATTGTAACAAAAAGGCGCCTTCGAAGAAGAGCAATTCGTTCTCAAGATCCTGAAGACCGTATTTTGTGGTACAGAGCTGCAATGCAACTTCGAACCCTTTTAAGGAGACTTCGAAGCGATTTTTTTGAGCATAAATTGTCTTCCATGGACTACACGGTGGATGCAAATTATTCACTGTGGAAATGTACAAAATCGCTTAAGCGCCAGCCCCTTAGACAGGTTCCTGTTCGGTGTCCCAGTGGTGAGCTCGCAAAAAATGAAGTGGAGCAGGCCAATGCTTTCGGTCTACATCTAGAAGAACGCTTCACTCCGTATAGCTTTGCATCGACAGTTCAGGTTAGCGAGACCCATCAAACTCTGGAGACGCCTCTGCAGATGTCGTTGCCAATAAAGCCTATAAGGATTGAAGAAATATCTGAAGTTATCCAGTCCTTACCGAAAAATAAGGCTCCAGGAATTGATAGAATTTGCAACGTAACGTTGAAGGCCTTGCCCATAAAAGCGATTCTATTTATAGCTTTAATATTTAATGCTATTATTAGGACTCAAGTGTTCCCAAAGCAATGGAAATTAGCAGCAATTCAGATGATCCACAAGCCAGGTAAGCCAGAGGCTGATCCTGAGTCTTACCGTCCGATAAGCCTCTTATCGTCCCTGTCCAAGTTGTGGGAGAGACTCATTGCCAATCGAATAGCAGTTATCATGAATCGAGACAATATCTTGCCAGACCACCAATTTGGTTTTCGAAGAGGACACGGCACTGTGGAACAAGTGCATAGATTGGTGAAACATATTTTGCAGGCCTTTGATGACAAAGAGTATTCCAACGCAGTTTTCATTGATATGCAGCAAGCCTTCGATAAGGTGTGGCATGTTGGACTTTTTGCTTAAAATCAAAAACCTCCTACCTGCCCCCTACTATGGTCTTCTGAGATCCTACCTAGAAGAACGGGAGTTCAAGGTCAGAGTTAGGGACAGATACTCTGATAACTATAGAATGAGAGCAGGAGTACCTCAGGGCAGTGTGCTTGGGCCGCTGCTTTACTCTTTATATACAGTGGATATACCAAGCCCAAACAGACATCACATGATAGATCCTTCCAAAGCTTTGATTGCTACATATGCAGATGACATTGCAGTCATCTACAATTCCAGATGTCGGAGGGAAGCAGCAAATGGAATACAAGAATACCTTAAGGATCTTTCTGCTTGGTGTAAACGTTGGAATATGAGAATCAATCCGCAAAAAACTACGAACCCCTGCTTTACACTGAAGAGACTTGTATCTAACACCCCTGAAATCCAGCTAGAGGGAGTCAGTTTGGAACAGCCGTCGCAAGCAAAATATCTTGGTATCACACTGGATAAGCGCCTTACGTTCGGACCACATCTGAAAGCAACAGTCAAAAAATGTAACCAAAGGATTCAGCAACTGCGTTGGCTTACACACAGAAGGAGCACTTTGCCGCTGAGATGCAAGAGGGCAGTATATGCATTCTGTATCCTGCCAATCTGGCTTTATGGTATTCAAATTTGGGGGATCGCAGCCAAATCGAACTACAAAAGGTTACAAGTGTTGCAGAATCGGTTTCTACGTACCATTACTGACTGTCCCTGGTATGTGCGTGGCACGACACTTCACAGAGACCTAAATCTACACACTGTGGAAGAACAGATTGGGAGACACACAAGCCGATACCGAGATAGATTAGAAAGACACCGCAGCTTACTGGCTAGGAATCTACTCCCAGCGAGACCTTTGAGGCGTCTCAAAAGGCAAGGCTTTGCCAAGACGATAAGGAATCAATAAGAAAATACTATATATAATCCTCTTCTTAATGCTGAGGTTTGGTTTACTTTTCTCATTGGTGACACCTGTGTTGTTAAGTACTTTAATTTGCTGTACAGATTCTGCACTAAATAAATAAATAAAGAAAAAAAAAAAAAAAAAAATAAAGAAAAATGGAAAAATAATTTTTTTTAAATATGGTTTAATTCATGGTGTGCGCTGTACCTTTAAGTTTAAAGCCCTGTTGCTGTTTTTTGTTTAAGTCGTGATCCTGGACCTGGAGACTGCACGGCGCAAAGTCCTTCCCTAAAAACACGACTCCACATTATTGATCATAAATGGGCTTAATTACAATATTTTTCAAAAAAACTTGACTGATTTTTATTGCTCAATAATTACCCAATAACATGCAAAAAGAATCACTAAGATTCATTTAATACTCTACTTGCAATCCACTCCCAAAGATAGCCCTCATTTCAGGCCTTCTAATTGTATTTCCCCCCTTAAGCTACATTTTGTTTTTGACTCTTAAAAAGGATAGAAACAATTATCCTTAAATAAGTTATACTTGTTTTATTATTTTTTTACTTAATTTTACGCTTGCTTGAGGTATATATAAAATTCGATCTTATAAACGAATACTATTTCAGGAACTTAAAATTGGGCGATACCGAGTTGAGCAGAAAGCCGATTACGGTAAATAAAAAAATTCCGAGTTGAGCAGAAACGATTTTTGGGCATAAAAAATGAACGTCCGAGTTGAGCAGAAACGATTTTTGCACATAAAAAATGAACGTCCGAGTTGAGCAGAAAACCGATTATGGTAAAAAAAAACAAAAACATCCGAGTTGCGCATGAACGCCTTTTCCACATAAAAAACCAATGTCAGAGATGCCACAAAATCATTATTAATTAAATAATTTAATTTTTCAAAAAAATGGTTCTTTTTTCAGTTTTCAGGTTAGTTTTTTTTTTTTGAAAAATTACTTAATAATCATATAGCATATGTATCAATGCAAAATTGCGCGCGCACTTATGCATTGATACATATGCTATATGATTATTAAGTAATTATTCAAAAAAAGGTTATGTTTTCTGTTTTTAGTCTTTTTTTTTTTTAGAAAAATTACTTAATAATCATATAGCATATGTATCAATGCAAAAGTGCGCGCACTTTTAAGTAATTTTTCTCAAAAAAAAAGGTTATTTTTCAGTTTTTAGTTTAGTTTTTTTTTTTTTGAAATTACTTAATAATCATATATCATATATGATTATTAAGTAATTTCAAAAAAAAAAAACTAAACTAAAAACTGAAAAAATAACCTTTTTTTTGAGAAAAATTACTTAAAAGTGCGCAAATAAATGAATAATAAATATGTAATAATTATATGAATAAGTAATGATTTTGACGCATTTCTGACATTGATTTTGCCCAACTCGGAGGTTTTTTTTTTTTACCGTTATCGGTTTTATGCTCAACTCGGACGTTCATTTTTTATGTTCAAAAATCGTTTCTGCTCAACTCGGATGTGCATTTTTTATGTCCAAAAATCGTTTCTGCTCAACTCGGATGTTCATTTTTTATGTCCAAAAAGAGTTTCTGCTCAACTCGGACAATTTTTTTCAATTTTCTGCTCAACTCGGCTAGCCCCTTAAAATTAGATAAAATTGATTATGGAAAATTGTACATAAATATTTGATTCACATATTTATTTGTTACTTGCCCTTAAATAATGTTTTTCGTATTTTTCTTGCAAATTCAAATTGTATTTCAACAAAGCATACTTTTAGGCATATACAATCTTTGGCCTAAGTTAAATTGAATCAATCAACATTTAATATATGATTATGACTAAGACTAATAAAACTTGGGGGTGTATTTTATCAATTATCAGAAACATTAAGCTTAAGTATTTAACCTTATCAAGACTCCCCGCAATTGACTTTTAAGCTCTTGCCAAACACAACATTGTGGTCTTTCTCTTACAGCTCTCTCTTCGAGCAAAAAATAAAGAAAAAAGGTAAACAGAAAAGTTGAAAGCGAGCGTCAAATTGAAACGGAAAGCAGAACTCGTTGAACGTAGATTCGCCGCTCTTCCGCGCTCATTTTATCGTCGAAAGAGAGCTCAATCTGGGTTGGGGCGTACTCTCTTCTTGGGGCATTGGGGGCCTAACGGATTTCAGCTCTGTTTGTCCGTGAACGCCGAAGTCGCCGCACGCGTCTCGTTTTTCGCGCGCTTCTCGCCAATTCTCGGTAAATGCGCAAAAAAGCCAGCAACAAAATCAAATCAAATCGCAACGCAACGCATGGTGAATACATGTCTGTATTTTATAAATAGATCGGCCACAGCCATAAAAAGCATATTTCGAATGAATCAAGAGAAGAAAAAAAAGTGAGACACAAAGTTGATTATAACGATTCTTTGTTTTTTTGAAAGAATTTGCCGCGCGCGCGAATTAGTTTCGAAAATTGCGTATACGCACGGTCTACGAAACACACGAATTAAATTAAACCTACCACAACAAAGGGAACACACACACACACACGCAACCAACATTTAGCAAATGGCATATCAAAAACCGAAAAACCAATAAACATTTCCTAGTATTTTACAACGAACAGAGGATATCTATATGGATTTATATAGCTCGATTTATATAGCAATCAAGGATACAGAGGATACTTTCGAGGAATAGCAGCGATGCCTGCCCAAGGATTGCAATCTCCACCAGGTCGACAGGCTAACGGCATATCAGGATAATAATAAAAATAATAATAATACCAGGGACTTGGACATCATGGCTCCTCTATTTGTCTAGTTGGCAAATACCAGCGAACCGGGAACCAGGCCACACACACACACCCAGAAACACTCACACATACACACCATCAGACACATTCACAATCACACACACACGTTTACACTCTTAGACAAACAAGGACGTTTGTCATTGTGTGCGTCAAGGACGCTGACACATGTACAAGCTCACAAAGCGCTGTGCCATACAAACAAACCAGTGTCGCAAGTGGGCGTGCCAGCTGGGCGGCCTCTGATTAAATATACATCAGTCAAGCGCAAGGATCCTAATTTCCAGCAGTTGTCCCATGTAAAAGGACACGGGCAACGACGGCAACGGGAAGAGCGCAAAACAGGACAGGACAGCAACTTATTTAGCAGGAAAATGGCGCGACGCAAAGGCAGCGGTCGAGGCAGTAAGTAAAATATCTTGTCAATTATTTAAATCGAACTTAAGCTGGAAAATATGACAGCGAAATTCTAAGAATTGAAATTGAAATTCTAATTTCAATTGCTTAAACTTTTTATACGCAACAAAAGAAAAACATCAAGACCATCGTCAAATGTATCCTTAGTCTTTTTATTTTCAATTAAAAATTCTCCGAAATTTGTATCTGAATTCATTTGATAATTGTTCGAGGGGATTTATTATATACCCCAATAATTTTCTCTTTGATGCAAAACCTACCCAAAATACCAGCTAAAGTAATAGAATTTTCCACCTGAGCTCAAGGACGTTGAGATTTTCATGCTGCCATATGGCAAGACACCGATATCCTTACACCCATATTTTTCTTTCGCTGCAAAAGCGAAAAGAATCTCGTCAAGTGCAGTGATTTTTTTCGCGTCTCAAAGGAAAAAATATAATTAAGGAAATAGTATTCAGCCACGCCCCCACTTGAAACCTATGGCTGTATCTATAAGATACATTTTTTGCATTATTATTTGTGCCATGACTGCTTTACTTGCCAGAGAGGAAGAGGAAGAGGAAGAGGGAACGGAAGAGGGAGATGAAGAGGAAGAGAGAGAGCATGCATAAAACATGAAACAACAGCGTCAGTAGTCACTTTACATTGCATTGCGCTTACGCCCACACCACCCACTACAGCCACACCACCCCCGAACCACCCAACCACCCATCCCGTTATCATTTCATTTCAGTTGCGTTGGCGCGCGCGCTGCAAAATGTTGGGGATTCCCTTACGTAATCCCCCAGCGCACACAAAAGGCAAACAAACAAACAGACACACACTCACTAGCGGCCAAACAAAACAAAAACACAAACGAAATGGGCAAAAGAAGGAGGCAAAGCCAGAAAACGGAAAAGCAGAAAACAGAAAACCGAAAAGGGGGGAAAACAGCAAAACAGAAACTGAGTGAAAGAAGAAGAAGAAAAAAACAGACGCAAACAAGGCAGCTTGTTTGCCAGCCAGTCGGAATCGCCCCATGTAAAATGGCCTGAAAATCAAGCTCAGCCAGCGTCATGAACTTTTGGCGCTGCTCGCCCGCTCAACAGGCAGTCCACAGATACAAAGATACTCGCACACATATCTCTACGCAGATACGAAACACACAAACACACACAGACACAAACACACCCACCACAGATACCGAGATACTTGGGCATCCACAGTCTCAGTCGTAGTCGCATTCGCAGATACTTTGCGTCACGCGGCCTGTTAGTCAAGTTGCCCGCTCGCTGTTACTCATGCTACAGTTTGAACCTATTAAAAAGCCAGATACTTTGTTGTTCGCCCCGCTTCCTACGCCGCCTCGCAGATACTTTTGCCAAATGAGATACAAGTGCGCTGCCTGGCTTTTGATATATGCCAAGTATTCCGAGTTGGGCGGCGGATACTGTGTGCATTCCAATAGCGTTTGATACTTCTATTTTTAATACGGTGACTTAAGTTAATTATTTATTAGTTGGAGATTAACTCATAATTATTATAATTATTATTTATTCTTTATTTCATTAGATTGTAATATAATTACCAAAACTGCTTTTAATGTTTGAAGAGATTTAAAACCTCCCAGAAAAGCTCTTGAAAGTATGCTACAAATACTTTATGTACCAAAGAGTGGAAATCCTATTTTAGGGATTGCCTTTCTTTTAGTACCAATAGTTATCGTTAACTTTGAAGACAATAAATAGTCTTTATAGGTTTTTATGGAAAGTACTGGGTAACTCAACTTCCAAAGTCGTAACTTTGGCAGACGCAACATGTTCAAAGAGCTGGAGCCTCACTTGGCTACGCCTCGACTTCTAGCTGCCGATGGGTTTGGGTTTGGGTTTCGGTTTAGGTTTGGGGACGGGCATGGTTATGGGTTTTGAGTTCGAGCTTTGAGGTTGGGGAGCCGAGCTGAAACACTTAAGCTGGCTTTGGCTTTGTCTTTGTCTTTGTGTTTTGCCTTTGCCTTTGCGTTGCCAGTGACTTCGCTGTAATCTCTTTTCGCCTTCGTCTAACAACGTCAAAATTAAAATAGACTTTGCTTTGGGTTCTGGGGTTCTGTGTTCTCCATTCTGTGTTCTATGTTCAGTGTTCTCGGTTCTGTTTTCGCTTTGACTTTGCCTTGGCTCTGGGCCATTGTGCGAATAATTTATGGCGGGGGAGTTGAGAGTGGAAGTTGGGAGTGAGTTGGAGCTGAGGAAATCCCACCCACTCCCACTCCAACTCCAACTCCCTGCGGCTGGCATTTCCCCGCTCTTTTATTTGAGAGTATTTTCATTCCATCGCTACCTTTGTTTCTGTTTCCCTTTGGCAACTTTGCTTTGGCCCGTTCGCATTCCATTTCCATTTCGAATGAAAAAAGAAAATCCTTTTAGTTTGCGTAGTTTTTGCCTTTCAGAAAGGGGTTGCTTTTCATTATGTTGGGGGAGGAAGTGGTGGGGGAGCGGGTTTTTAGGATTGGAGTCCTTAAGTGCTAGCCAACTGCCTATGTAGGTCTAGGTGTGGCCATAATAGAGCTCGTTTCCATTTGTTGATTGCTCTGAATTCGTTTTTAAATTCGAGATTAGGTGCTTAGATTTGAGCTTTGTTTAAAGAGTTTGATATGAACTTCATTAAAGTATTACATTAAATCATAGAACTATGGTACTAAGACATATTATATTTAAATTATAACTCAACTCATAAGTTCATCTATCCTTAAAATTCCAAAACTACTAAAGAAGTTCCAAAATTTCTTTCCATGTCTAATTTAATCGTATTCAAAACACTTCCTGGAAAATCTCTCGACTTCGTCCATTAACTCACCTTGCTTTAGCTAATTTATTTTATAAAAATCTGCCCCTGGCACGCAACAATTCCTAAGCGAATACGATTTCCTGAGTTACCACTTACCCATTCCCCCCAATCGGTTAGCCTCCTTTTTATATTTGGGGCCATATCATAGCCGTAAACAAACACTCGAATCCAGCCTTTGCTGGGACGCCTTTCGGGCAACTGTTGTGGGCAGCCACGCCCAGAAAATTCTCTCTACAGCCATTTCGACCGCCCGCCGCCCCCTCAGCCACTAAAAAGGTCATGGCAGAGGGGAAGCTACAAAAAGCCCCAAAAAAGACAGAGGAAAACAAGGAAACGAAAATAAAAGGAAAATAAATAAACGTAAAATGAAATCCAGGCCCCAACTTTACCTATGAGTTTAAGCAAAAATAAAACCCCATACCTGTGGCAAAAAGGACCTTCCACACAGAGCGAAATACGAACGTACATACAAATATATATAAGGCAATAATAAACAGCAAGAAAAAAATAAAAACAAGAAATTAAGGGAAAAGTTGGCATCTGGGAAAAAAAGCGGAAAAACAAGGCAAAAGGACATGTATATGTGTGAGCTGGCAAACCTCTTCATCACCCAAATACACGTACACTTACACACTTACACACACACACACACCAACCACCTACACATTGAAGGCAAGTCTATGAAAGCGCAGGGCTTCCCCAAATGATAAAGTTTTATTTGCTTTTGCGGGCGCACATTGGATTTCTTTTTTCCTTTTTTTTTCTTTTTTGTATTTTGTGGGGCAGCTGGCGGCAGAGGCAGAGGCAGCGGCAGAGGCAGAAGCAGCGACTTCGACGCCAGCAGCACTCCACCGTAATAAAACGAACATTGAACGATGATGATGATGAAGATGGGGGTGCAGAAGGAAGAGGAGGAGGAGGAGGAGGGGGGAAGAGAGGAAGAAGAAGGAAAAACAGCAGGCAGTGGGTGGCGGTTAATGGGGATGATGACGTTGCCGAGGCGGTCGTCAGTTAGTTGCCACAGAAAGGCGAACATTAAACCAAGTCAACCGAGCCACCCACTGGGGATTTCCCAGAAATTAAGCGACCGAAGGATACCTCTAAAAAGATAGTGAGATATGGACTGATCAACCTTATTATTTATATTTGTGGTGTCAAATGTCAACAAGAAATTACATACGTCAATATAATTAACCATTTTTTCATGGGAACAATGCTTATATAGTTTCCTAAAATTGCTACTCTAATAATACAACAAATTAAAACCCTTAATATTACCTAAATAGGTTTCTATATTTACCTTAAAACAATAAATCGTACTCTCCAAAGATTTATACAAATATGATTTCCAATTAGTTCTTAACTACTGTTTAAAGAGCATACAATATAACCCAATTTTAAGGAGCACTGCTCGGTAGCGACATGTTTAACACAAATGAGTTGGCAACCAACGACAGAGATAGAGCGACTGCGAGTGAAAGAGAGGGGTAGCAAGTGGAAATGGTGGAAAATGGGGGGTGTGACAAGGAAACGTGAGCTTGGCCCCCTTAACAACCCGATGTGTCACGGGTAGCGAGCCTTGTTGGCTATGGCCAATGTGAATTGTTGATGCACTGAAAAAAAAACTACTACTATTAAGTAAGTTTCTTAAAAATCAGAAAATGTTTAAGTGAGTTCATTATAAATATATGAATAGTATGCAAACATTTAGCATACCATATTTTAAACATAATTTACAAACCATTTTAAAAAGTTGTCTTATTTTTTTTCAACTTTCCTACCAACTCAACTAACTATATTTTCTCTCAGTGCACTGAGTTTGTTGCTGGGGCTGAAAGCAGTTCACCAGCAACAACAAGAGGCACAGCAACAGTAAGTGAGTGACGGCAACGACCGTGAAAGGCCATTTGCCTTCCACTTCAAACCCTCCCGCCCTCCTATTTTCCGCCCAACCCTACATTGTTTGTGTGTGAGTGTATGTGTGTGTGTGTGTGCGAGTGTGGCAAGGATAACCTAATACAATTTTTGTTTTTGTTGCCTAAGGACGTGCCGGAATTCGTTGGTGTATCTCTCGATTGCTTCGTCATGGGGTGGCATTGGGTGTTTGGGCGTTGAATGTTGGATGTTTGGGGTGTTGGGGTTTTTGGGGAGGTGTTTGGGGTGTTGGA